CAATGTGATGGCAAAACGTTGCATTCCGATGATGCACCAAAAAAACATGAAGCTGATACCGCCGCACCTACGAATACATATGGTAGTTTTTGAACAAAACACATTCCATGCCGAATGGTCATTCAACCTCTGAAAACTTTCCTATCATTGATGGAATTTTGTTTTCAGTTAGAGAGAAAGCAATGAAAAGTTGTACTCACAGTTTGAAACCTTGATTTTGTCCGTTCCCCACCGATGTTTGAATTTGGATCATCTTTTAATGGATCCTTTCAGAAAGCATTTGTGCAATGCCTTTCTCGGGATTCACAAAAGAAGAGCCTGATAAGTGTGTGAATCAGACTTGTACGAAAGGATATGAGTGCAAAAGCGATTACTGTTGTCCATCAAAAGGTGAGTGCGGACGGATCACATTTCACGAAAATTTTAGATGACTTCTGAACTGATACAGTTTTCATCGATGTTTCACAATGTGCCTTTGTAAGCCTATCTTTAAGTTTCGTCTTTTCAAAATCGTCGATGTAGAATCATATTGCATCGAATCAATCCGTACAATGGGAAAAATTCATTCATGACTTTATGGTGCAAATGTTAATATCTATTAATCAATCCAATACTAAAATCTTAAACTTCACGCTCGTTCTAACGTCTCATTTTGTATCGCGTCATTGTTGAGTTTTAACCGTGCACATAATTCTGATATCTGATAACCATGAAACTATTCAACAAGAAAAAGCTACTTAGAAACTCTGAAAATTTCGCCTCGAATCCATTGCTTTGTGGAGCTTGACTCACCGATTTTGGGAAACTGGATTCGCTTCCTTCGCCTATCATGAAAATTCTTGCAATCAAATATTCCAACAAAAATCCGATATTCCGCATATCGCGGATATAAAGATCTGCTCATATAATGGACTCTGATCGGTTGCTTGCATCGATCCGAAAGTATATTTGATCACCAAAATTTTCGTTTCTTTTAGATCTGATCTGCGGTCAACTCTACGACTCAGGACATGAGCTGAACGAATTGAGTATGCGACACAATCGTCGATATGCTTTCAATCCGAAATTCGGCGTTTGCAATCGTTTCGCATATTTCGGTCGTGCCGGTAACTTCAACAATTTCCCGAATTGGGAAGCGTGCATGCGATTCTGCACTGGACGTGTCCCAAAGTATGACGGTCAATGAGGAACCTTTCGAATCGCGATCAATCACTGCAATTTATTTGTGTATAGTGTTTTTATTTTGTTTGCGATAAGGTATTGTGTATTGCGATTTTTCATTCTCATTTAAAACAGAGAATCGCATTATTTTTCAAATCTAACTATTACTTCATGCCTGTTGATGAATGATTCAATTGAAACGTGAGCTAAACGATTTCAAATTCCCGATTCAAAGGATCTGTGTGATCATTATTAACAACTCATTATTTCTGATTGAAATATTACAAGAATATTAGAAATTAGCTTCAATTTAAATATTTTTACTATTAAGAAATCGTCACTAATTTTGCAGTTGACACCTTCAAAATTTGCTGACAAGGTTCAAGCATGTAAATCTGATTCACTGATATTTTCTGTTTTTTTCTGATTTTTCGATGAATAAATCGGTTGCCTCAATGTTATTTGAATGAATCATTCAATTACGACAGATAAGAGACTCAATTCACCATCACATGCGATACACTGACTCGGCAAAAATATTCGATAATCGTATCCATGATTCACAAGGGCATTCACCAAATTCTTATCAACTGTCAGTCGAAGTTATCATTGAAACAACCAAACAATGCCTTTTTTNGACCAGCTGTTTTCACTGTTCACTGAATCGGATGATTTTCCACATTAGCAGCATTAAAAATATTAACTCTGAAAGAAGCCTATTCAAAATAATGAATTTTCCGTGAATTTCGATTCACCTGATTCTATTGGCGGAACGAAACGGCTCAAAAAGTGTTTCGAGTGAACTTCGTTGTCCGAGCATTTGCAGATCTGGTGAAGAACTGTCAAATGATATCACTTCTTATTGCTTCATACAAAACTTCTTCGTTTCCATACAGTTGCTTCATGCATTCGTCATTTGTTGATCCTCCTGATATTTGATTTGGCGATCACAATGGTTGCTGTACAAGCTACTCACCAATCTTGCTCAATGAGTTTTGGGAAGGCTACTTTTTAGGAGAACATTTTAAGGTTATTTTCAGAATTTCCTTTTTTTCATTTCACTTTGTATGATTATTGCTGATAAGACTGTTGCTACACAACTCCGTTAGCAATGAGAATATTTCAATAGCTTACAATCAATTTATGGCCTGTTGGAAGAGTCGTTGAAGAAGAAACACCATGAAACTCCATATCGAATTTACTGAATTTTTTTT